AATGGTTGCCAAGCAACTAAATATCGAACCCAATCAAGTAAATTTCCATAGAGTACATGAGGTTTCTAAACATTCAAAAACAATTATGAATATTAATTTTTTTTTCTTTTTCTTAAACATACCTCCCATGGATTAGGAAATAATCTTTTTAAATCTACTTTTTCTTTACAATATGGACATGTTTCTTTTTTTCCAACAATACACCAACCACGTATACAAAATTCATGAAAACTAATCAAATTAAATTAGAAAAAATATTTTCAATAAAAAGAATTCAACAAAATATGATAATAGTTACGTATGACCACATTGTAATTTATATGTTCGTTCAATTAATGCTTCTTCATTATTTTGTACTAATATTTGATTAGCACAAACGGCACATGTATTAGATTCTAATGCTCGTTTAGGTAAGCCTGTTTCAGAATAATACTAAATAAATAAAAAACATTAGAATTTCATTAGTTCTTTTTTTTTTGTTTGTAAAAATCTCATACTCCAATTTTTGATGCCATTCGATCAGTACATGATTCAGCCATATCTCTTCCAAGTACACCATAATATATTCCATAAAACATAATTAATATTCCAAAATCAAGTGCAGTCTACAATTGATAATTAATTTTAAAATTAATCATATATTTCAAAAATATTTACTTGTGGAGATATTAATAAAAGAGTATTAATACCAAAAAAAGTCATCATTACAAGAAAATAACCACTAATAGCAAGTCCATATGAAATTTTATAAATAAGAAGAAACCATTTATAAACTAATCTATTTAAACAAACACATTATTTAATTATTTTTAAAAAACTAAATATTCGTTTTCTTTTTCTGTTTTTTATTTTTACCTTGGTGTATTTGGTTCAATAGGTTGTCGTGCTGCGCGACGTGTAACATAAACTGTTATAATTGTAAAAAAACACCAAATTATAATAAAACGAATATAAAAAAAACGAATTGATAAACCAAATGGAATTAACCACATTCCAATAAGAGTAAAAAACTGAACAAAAAAAAAAATAATAATTCATTTATCAAAAAGAAAACAAAATATCTGTGAACTAGTACTTGATAGGATCGAAGATGATACTTTCTCCAAAATAATAATAAAAATTGACAAACAACAAGTGAAATAAGTAGAACAAGTACCATTTCCATATGCATAGCATCATGTCCTTTATGTTTTTCATGCATAGCTTCATGTTGAACTCGAAAACGTTCTTCCGGACTAAGTTTATCAAGTTCATATGTCTATAAAAATATATCAAATTATATTTCAATTGAAATATACATATATATTAACTGTACTTTATTGCCTAATATTATAGTTTTTCCTACAAATTCATTGTCTAAATCCATAGTTATCTTACTAGTAAGCAAGTAAAAACGTGGTTATTGACTAGGTGGTCTTCGATTGGTCGAGTAGAATCTCCAATGAAACAAAGATATAAGTCGCTGGATGTATAATATTTCATTGGAATTTATTTTATGCATCACATAATTAATTGAAATGTTCAAATTTATTATTTTTATCATTTCTATTTTACAATTAAAACTTATATCGGTAAATTAAATTAATTTAACTTCGTTGAAAAAAATTTATTAATATTTATTTTACAGACATTCGATGATACAACGGATGATATTGTATCTCTTAATATCGAAGATAATGTAATAGATGGAAAATTTGTATCATTTGCTAAAATCAATATTCGTCTTTCAAGACAATCAAATATTGAATTATTACCTTCACGTACTATATCATCTTTACACTACGAACGATTAATTGAAGTTATTTAATTCATAAAACTAAAATCAAATTATAAATAAATATCTGTCTGTTTTTTTTTAAAGGAATCTCAATTAAATATACATTCATATTATACATTAAAAGTTCATTTTAAACGTCGTTCATTACAAGATTATGTTATGACATCAATACCAATGGTATAGAATTTTTTTTTTTGTGTTTTTAGTTTCTATCTTGTTTTCTTTTCTAATTTCAAATTATTTATTATTCTAGTGTCTTATTTTACAAGCACAATTTCAATATACTATGAATTTATTTATTAATGAAAATGGTTATATTGTTAGTGTAAATATTATAACAAATAATTCAACATGTAGTATTTCGAATACACCTATATTAGAAAAACAAACTGATTGGATATATAAAGTTCCTTTACATTTACATTTTAATGATCTTGGACCACAGTAAGAATAGAATTTATCTTTTTGTTTTTTTTTAAATTTTTTTGTTGTATTAATAATAGACCTGAAATACAACATTTTCTTGAAAAAATTAGACGTGAAAGAGAAGCAAAAAACACACAAGAAAATGATAATCGACCATTTATACTTAAATATGTGAGTAATAAAAGAATATTTATACAACAAAAGAAAAAAAACTACTTTTGCTTTTTTTTGTTTTAGTGGAAATATATATTACCAGTAGTAGTCATTTTTCTTCTTCAAGGTGCTTTTGCAGATCCTGGAGCTGCTGGTGGTGGCGGCGGTAGTGGACGATAGTTCTCTTTTTATTTTTATTATAAATTTTAATATTTATTTATGTTTTACTTTATATTTGTCGCATTATGTGGAAAAGTTGTTCTGTATTACATAAGGAAAAAAAATACAAGTACAGATTTTCTCATTAATCACAAAAAAAAAAAGAATGTATATATCGTAGTTTTTCTTAATTAATACTCATCTACTCTTAATATTGAATTGATTGATACATATACATGTATTTGTAGTTATTTTTTACTCATGTGTATGATAAGACATTCAAATGTAGTAAATAATATAAGGTCGATGATGAAATAACTTATTCATTTAGTTTCTTTCTTTTTTTTTTTTTATTGCAGCTGGTTGTTGTTCAAGGACATATGATGTCTATATCATTAGTATGCTGTTTGTTCGTTTTTAAATATTGATTTAACATATCATTGATTAGATATTTAATTTAAATGGTTATAGTTGCTATTTTATATACATATATAGAAAAAAAAAAAAAAAAAAAAAAAAAATATCTCACCCTATGAATAAAGTATTAAATTAACAAATTGTCGGACAGACATAACATGTAGCAGTGACTTTTTTTTATTATAGACGATGATGATATATATGTGTAACTTTCGAATTTTTTTTCTTTTCATTAGAATGCGAATCTTTAGAACAAATATTGGTTATACCTAGATCAATTTTCAACAATGAATATTAATCTATACATAGTATTGCTAATACAATATTTTTTTTTTACTTCTTTTTCTTTTTTCTCAGTCACTTACTCAGTGTGAAATCATTACATATTAATATGCTTGATATTATCGTTGATACAACTATTCTTACTTAACTTATCTTGAATAGTCAATATATATACAATGTATAAAAAGAAATACGATTCCGCTTTGACATTTCGTATGAAAATAAAGAATTAAGTCTTTTTCTTTTTTTTTCCAAATTAGTATTGAATCTTTGCATTGTATTTTTCAATATGGTATGTATTCTTTCACTTTCTTAAGTATTATACATCAAGTTGGACATCTACATGAGCATGTCTAATGGATATTCGAAATTGTTCAACCATGATAAGATATGCAGAGTATATTGAACAACAAAAAGTTGATATTTTCTTTGGATATTGTACATCATATTAATGAATGAACCAATATTTAAGTTTTCTTATCATATAAATAGAAAAGAAAAGAATCGGATAAGCTTTTTTTTTTTATTTTTTAACGACCTTGAACAATCGATTATCGAATAAATATTCATAAATGTGCTTTGTATGGATTAAAAGTGATTATTTTTCTCACTTTTCTTCTGCAATAAATATGGCATAGGGGAAAAAAATCTACCACAAAATAAAGAACAATTGATATCGTCCAACCACAAATGAATCAATACGGTTACAACCTATACAATACATGTGTATATTTTGAAGTGGTTTTTTTTCCTGTGACGTTTATCAACAAGTACAGAGGCTGTTTTTGAATGATTAAACTATTCGACACGAATGGACACTTTACGATTCTCAAAATTTATATTCCTAGATGCCATATGTGTACATATATATTATCAAACATCAACCAACATGGATTTGATGACAACAAAGAAGCAGCAGCAACAGCAGTAAGAGAGAAAGAATATTTGGTTTTTTCTTCTTTTCTTTTTTTTTTGGTAAGGTAGGTAGAAGAGAAAATATGCATACGACGAAAAATGAAATTAAAGATAAAGAGAAGAGAAAAAAGCGGACATTACTCACCTGATGTAGGAAAAAACGTAAGTTATTAAATACTCTTTATAGTTCGATTGAATTATTTCATACAGAAAACAATCTAGTATTCATTTTTCCAAATATTCTTCATCGAGAAAAAAAAAACAAGATTTAATCATTTTAATCTTTTGATAGACATTGAAAAATACGAACAATTGTAGAAACAATAATAATAATAATAATAATAATAATAGTAATAACAACAGCGACAAGGAAAAAATATCTTTAACTATTTGTCATCAAATGTATGGATGACATTTTTCTCCTTCATCAATTATATAAAGGTGTAGTTGTCAGGCGATAATGATTCTGATTGCGAGTATATGTTTTTCATGTGTATCTTGTTAATTCTTCATAAACCAAAAAAAAAAACACATCGAGAAGGTTCGTATTTTCAAGATCATCAAATTTATGTCTTTTCTTTTTTTTTTTTTTTTTTCTTCGAATCATCATAATGATGACGTATCGTTGTCGATCATGTTATATTTCGTCCATATCTCTTCTGTTGATGATGAAGGATGATATGATCGTCGATCACATATAGATATATAGATGTACGTGTGTTTGAAGCTATAAAACGTTTTGATACAAATGTAATTTTTTGTCTACACGAGAATGACATATTTATCTAATGATGTTAATCAGTGTAATACAAGAGAAAAGATGATAAGAATTTATACAATACGACGGGACAACATATGTTATGTCCTTCGAATAGAATCTCCATTAGTATTTATAATTGCGTTTATAAACAAATTTTATTACGATTGAAATTTTGATTTTTAAATAATCGAATAATTTTCAATGACATTTTTCAAAATGTTCAATAACAGACTCGTATGTATATATATGTAATGTAATGTAACGTATTTGTATTTCGACAAGTAATTGAAAAATTTCTCGTTTTTTTTTTTTTCTTCGTAGTTATCTTATTAAGATATTTATTAATGGAATTTTATTGTAAGTATTTATTTCTTTGATTATACTAAATAAGAATTTCAATTTTGTTTACAAGTAAGAAGATACACATGTTTTAAATTTTTTTTTTATAATAGAACCAAACTTTTTTTTCCTTCTTTTAAATTTATACTTTATATATCAATCATATCTATTAGTTTTTAGGTGTAATATGATATGTCCTTGACTGAACATTATCATTTTCGATATCTTCTGGGTAAAATGCGAGAGAGAGAGAGAGCAAGGAAGAAAAAAAAAAGATTAACTCTTGTGTGACAAAATCAAGGATCACTATCTGTGATGAAAATTTAAATTACCTTCATCTTCTATAGGAAAGAATCCATTGTATGTTCATTTTTTATTGTAGTTATACCTTCTTCATATTCTTTTCTTTTCTTGTGTCAATCAAGGTGACACAAGGCGCTTGTGTTCTTCTTATTCTTACTGTTTTACGTATACATCTATATGTATAGATATATATATGACAACGAAGATAATTAGAATATATATATATATATACATATACACCAAACATAAAAACCTAGTATAATCGTTACCATATGCTTAGGTCAATTGTCTCAACGATTATATTCTATTTACACTAAAAGCTTATTTTGTATATGATGCAATTATCAACAACTGATTTATTCATTGAACATGACATCTTATATATATATATCGGTAAAAAAAATAAAATAAATTTAATTCTTCATCGATTGAAATATTTTATTTTTGTTGTAAAAAATTTGTTATTCATTCTCTTATGATGAATAACACTAACGAAGGAAGATTTCTAAGTGTAATAAATTATTTTTTAAACCAAAACTATATTCAATCAATTAGGGCCTAATAAATAAATAACTATCTTTGAGTGGCTCGTCGTTTGTTATTGAGATATCAGATATTTAGTAGATTTGTCGTGTATGGCTCTAATTTTCAAGGAAAATTCTTCTGTGAGTTTTAACATGTGCGTAAAGACATCGATTAGAATAGCTTGTAGAAAAACTTTAAAAAAATATGAACTTTTATTTGTAAAAAATTTATATCTTAAAGATACTTGACCAGAAAAATTCTGAAATTTTTTCTCCAAGCCTAGTCTAACCTATGCCTTAATGTGGGTTAAGTTGCAAGTCAAAACTCAAAAGTATAATTTCACTTGAAAACTAAGATCCTACAGGAAAAATCAAAGTAAAAACTCGAAATCTTAGCAATTCGAACCACTCTAGACTCTTCTGATGAAATATAGTCTCTCGCTTAAAAGTGATTTATCATTTGAGAACCTTTCCTGATAAATATCGATTAAAAAAAAAAACAAAAATCTTTGTTTCTTTTTTATAGATATATAGACAGTCATTCATTTTACAGCTTGTTTTTCTAGTTGTTAATTAAAATATGTATTTATAATTATGAAATATTCAATATCAATGCAAGAAACTAATGATGAACATTATAAACAAATTTTTTATTCAAATGAATATTTAAATTATAATAAAGATTTAATAATTAAAATTAATTTAACAAATCAATTTCGTTTATTTATATTTTGTATTTTAATTTTAACATCACAAACAAATGCTTTACCTATTCGTCGAAGTAAATGAAATTTTTGTTTTTTGCTAGAAAGATTAATTTTATAATTCAAGAAAAAAAAAACAAATTTCTTTTTTTAGTAAATTCTAATCAAATAATAAGTTTATATAATATTCAACAATTTTCTACTACAACTACAATTCAAGTAACAACTCCTCGTACGCCGTCTAATCATCTTCAATTAAATAATTATAATATCTATCAACATATTCCTATTTCGAGTTATTCAAATAGTGGTTTTGTTCAAGTTTATAATCAAAGAAATTTTCATAATCAACAACAACAACAACAAAAACAATTAAGACGTGAACGATATCGACGTATAATGATTGATAGAATGTTTTTAATATTTGATGAAGATGGTTTGTTAGTAATTTATTTATTTATTAGATTATTTTAATGAATTGTATTTTTTTTATTGTGTTTATTTAGCTAATGGACAATTAACAAAAGATGAATTATATTCATTAAGTTTACGTTTAAATATTTTTCCAAAATTTCATCATTTTCTTAAAAAAAATTCATTATGGAAATAAACAATATTGAATTACTTGATATTTTCTATGCTTTTTTTTTTTGGTTTTGTGTTCTCTGTTGTCTTTTTCTTTTTTTTTTGTCTTCCTATGGAATATTGCTGTGAATATATATATATATATAAATATGAATGAATGTAGAATATTATACGAACAATCATCTCAAACATAATGAAAATTTATCGAGGTTATTAAACATATCCGATGACTATAATTGACATCTGAGTAAGAATCAAGAATGATTTTACTTGAATTACATATTTATTTTTTTTTTTCGATAAAATCATATGTAATGAGATCTATCTATTTTTAAAAGAATTCTATTAAAAACAAAAATATCTTCTATATAACTGACAAGGATACCTCTCTACCAATTTTTCGTCTATAGATATTAGATAGTATTTCTTGTGAAAAGTCTAAAAGGATTTGCATTTCTATTGAGATTGAATGAAGCTATAGGATTTTTAATATGTCTTTTTGAATTTTATTTTGAACCTAAGAGTTTGTAGACTTTGTTTCTCTGAGATACGAAATTTTCAAAATATTCTTGTATTATTCATTATATTTCGAAAAGTTCATAGCTTGAAGATATAAACTCTTCAAATCAACTACTCTATGTGAGGCCTTCAATTGGAAGTAGTTTCAAGATGAAATTCCAAAATACAATTTTTTCGAAAAAAATCTAGAGCCTCTGGTAAATAAATATATTAAAAGTTCAATACCACCGTCAAGTCTCAATAGGAACTCAAATTTTTTCAGGATTTTTACTATCATACTACCTAGTATCTATAGGCGAAGAATTGACAGAGGAGCATCTAGGCATGTTCCCTCGTCAGTTGAGTACTTCTTGGACATACAAAAAAAAAAGAATATGTCTAGCAATTCGGAAGATTCAATGTGCCATTATTACAACAATCCGTTGGACAACATGAATCACATGTTGGTTGAGTCCAATATTGTTTTTCATTTGGATCATATCCACTAAATTAATAATATTTTTTTTTTTGCTGAACTCATATATACCGGATGTCACAAAAGTTTTGCAACATTTTGTGTTTTGCATATAGCTCAGTTCAAACAAAAGATAAAATCTTGAATTTAATTTTGGAAGATGCGCAATTTAATTCTCTACAAATTTGTATTTAGCTTAATTTAAAATAATAGACATCAACATTTTTATAGGTCAAAAAGTATGATTATATGAATTGCATCTACTTTCCGCACGTTTTTCTGGCTGTTCCGTGTCATAAACAGGCGCTTAAAAAACTAATTATCAACAATACTATCAGATATCAATGCCCATCTAGAATAAATTATCTGCGTTCGATTACAATCTGTTTGAACCTAATAAAAATGGTCTGTTAGGTGTGCTACTGCAAAAAACAGCATTCTTGACAATATTCAGATTCTTCTGCCGTTTGAATTGTTTTATAAAAATATTTTTTTTTGAACTTCAGACAGAAAGAGAAGTCCATTTCTTACAAAGTATTGCAAAAATGAACTCGGTTTGGTCAGCGGTCACATTTTTAAGAGATGCTTTTCTCAAAATGGATAATTGAGAGAAAATTTTGTGATTGTCACAATATTGCTTCGCGAAAAATTCTGTCTAATAGAAAGACTGAACGTTAATTATATTAGCGATCGACCGAACCTTTCGAAAGCCATCCGACAGTTTACTTTTTTTTAAAGCGAAATATTCGGTCACACGAAAAGAATAATTTAATAAAAAAAAACCTGTGTGGGAAGTGGATGCAAGTCATATAATCATACTTTTTGACCTATAAAGATGTTAACATCTATTATTTTAAATTAAGCTAAATACAAATTTGTAGAGAATTAAATTGCACATCTTCCAAAATTATATTCAAGATTTTATCTTTTGTCTGAGCTGAGCTATATGCAAAACTTTTGTGACATCCGGTAATAAAAAATATCTTACTCAATAAAACGATTGTTACATTTTTCTTGACAATTTAGTTTTTGTTGATTTTTTCTATTTTCATAACATTGTACAAAAAGTTCTCTATCATAATTAATTGGTCGATTTTTTTGTACAAATGCCCAATTATTATAATGAAAACTACCATAAGCCATATTTGTTGTTTTATATCTTTCTGATGGACGACAAATACAAGCAAAATTAATATGTGATGAACGATTTCCACATATTGGTGAATATATTGTTTTATAAAGTTGTTGAAGTGGACGATAACAATTAGATGAACGATAGATACCTGCTCTTTGACCATAACGATTATTAGTTCGTCCACAATTAGCATTATTACAATCAGGAAGTATAGCAAGGCATAAATTAGTATTGTTATTAGTTGATGGACAATTATTGTTAGAATTATAAGAAATCATACTTGAAGATTGTAATCGACAAAAAAAAGAATTTATCAGATATCGGTCGTGAAATTATATTGTTATTTCGAAATAAAAATGAAGAATTTATTTAAAAAAAAAAAACTAAAAAAGCGCTCGAATATTGAGTTTAAATTAGTACATTGACTACTCATTGAGAATCTTTTATAGTCTTCGATTCGATCGTAGATTTTTAGATAAATATTAATGAATAATATTGCTTTGGAAAAATAAAAATATAAGGTTCTATACAATTGAATAAAATAGTGTTCGGCATTCAGCACGACCCAAAGCATAGGTCCAGATGCAAACTCGCCGGATCGGTTTTGATCTCGAGTATGATTTCATACTCAGATCTGACTCGACAATTAATAAGACCTTGATGTTTCAAAATATGTTTACTTTTGCAAATTAATAATTTATATAAAAGCATAGTACTGTGACTATGAAAGTATCTACAGAAAGTTTTCATTAAAGACAAATATCAATAGATTGATATTTCAATTAGTAATTGCCCAATAAAATAATGAGTATAATTCGACACATCTAATCTAATGTTCTTGCCAAACAAGAATTTCATTTTCTCTATTGAGTTGCAATGCAATTTTGCTATAGATATTTGAAAATTCTATCATAGACTATTATATTTAGGATGACTAGATCTATAACAAAGACTGTTATTGGGATAAGGGTCATTTCTTTTTTAGTCCTATTCTATTCGACTCATCCATAGTAAGTAACATGAAAAAAATAGTTTCTTTTCGATATAAACTCATAAATAATACAATCGTCACGCTAATAACTTTATTAGAATTAAAATCCAGTCAAAAAGCATTCCATAGCCGTTTTTAAATAACATTCATGACAAGTAGATTTCCAACTTTATACCGATAAAGACATAACTGCAAAAAAAAAATCAACGTAACAATAAATTTAGTTTTTATGTCATGCAAGACGAATGGATCATCACATTGAAATGACTTCGTTCAAATTCAATCATATCAGTGCCATAATCAGCACTTACATAAACTATTTCCATAGTTGACTCTACTTGATTAGTACTAGAAGATAAAGAACTAATTTTGAATTCTTTTCTAATCGACAAAAGAGATCTGAAAAAAAAAACACGTAAACTATACACTTAAAATCAGATAAAAAATAGTACCATTGCTGATCGTTTTACATTACGTTAATAACTCATCTCATAGTCGAGATCCCATCAGATTCGGGCAGGACAGGATGAAAAAAAATTTGTCCTGTGACGATCTCTGATCTATAATAGCTCAGAATGAAAAAGCTATATACAAAAAAAGATCAGTTCCTTCTTTTAATTATGATAATTACGTATTTTAAATCAATTTTATAGTCAAAAAAAAAAACGCCATTCGCATAAAAGTTACCTACTGCCATCTATCAATTCGACAAAATCTTGATGTCTTCCAAATTCTACCTTTCGAAATCCAAAATTTATTTGATTCCCTGTATTTATTTAGCATTATTCATTCTTGTGAGTTAACATAGTAAAGTCATGAATACTAACGCTGAATTTAACCTTCGATTTACAAAAAAAATGATTGAAAAAGAAGCATCAGCAGCTGAAAAAAAATATGAAGCTAGTCGAAAAAAAGCATTAAATGCAATGAAAAAATCTGGTGATATTGAAACAGCTCGTATCTATGCTGAAACTGCTATACAAAATCGAACATCACATAATCAATTTCTTACGATGGCTTCTCGTATTGATAGTGTTATTTCTAAAGTAAAAAAAAATTTTTTTTTTATTAAACTTAGAATAAATTTTTGTTCTTGTTTGATATTAGGTTCAACAAGCTAATGCACAAAATATTATGGTTAACAATATGAAACAAGTTAATAAAATGCTTGAACATGTGAATAAAGATATGAATATTTCCGAATTAGCTAAAATTATGGAACAATTCGAACAAGTTCGTTTTGTTTTATTTTTATTTTTCTGAAAAATAAAATTTATCAAATTTAGTCATTCGAAAATTTTGATGTTAAAGAACAAGTAATGAGTAATGCAATGAATCAAGCTATGGCAACAAGTACACCAACTGAAGCTGTACATGATCTTTTACGTCAAATAGCTGAAGAAAATAATTTAGATATTCGTGCACAACTTGATGCTATTCCATCTGTTCAAAATACAGTACAAACACCAGCACAACAAGAAGCTGCAGCACAAAATACTCGTTTAGCTGCTCTTCGTCATGCTACTTAATTCGTTCGCTTTTATTTGATGAACAAATCCGTTTCATAATATGTTTTCCAGTGTTTTCTTATATAATAATATGTGCGTATAATGAGCATGATGTAAAAAAAAAGAGACAAACGAAGATAATTTAATATGATTTTCAACTTTTTTTTCAACAGAAAATATATTTATTTTTTATGATGATAAATGTCGTTTTCGAGAAAACAAAATTTTCATTGAGATACCAATAGACACATATATAACTTAGGCACCGAAGGCAGGAAGAGGAATGCTGTGTGGATGAATTTTAGGAGTAGAAGGCGTTATGTCCCACACATCCCTGGCAATAGATAGAGTCTTTCGAGTTAGTTCGAGATCGAATCTGAAAATTTTGGACCCGCCGGGCTATACCAGTAGATCTCTTCATTGTGTACAAATTTTAATTTCAGTTTTTTTTTAATATTCGATAGTGAACGGATGAGACAATAAGAATGAAAATTAAAAGAATAATGATCAAATATATGAAATAAATATCAATTTCGGAGATAAACTTTCATGTAAGAATTGAGTTTTATTTTAAATCAATGTCATAGAATACTTTGAATCGTAAGTTTCTTGACAGTATAATTAGTTCTTATTAGAAAAATCTTTCTCGATCTTGATACAGTTATCAAATTGATTAGTGCGTCGTTTAAGACAAATAATGCTTTAGTTTAGTTACAATAATACTTATTTTAAACGGAACTCTATGATTTAATTGTTATATGAACTTTTTCGACATTCAATTATAAATGAAATATTCGTTTAGAGAATAATGAGTAGATATTAGAACAAAGAGAACATCAAGAAGAAGATACATCAACAATAAAATCTGATTTAATATTACAAACACATATCGTAACAAACAGCTGTTATTGAAATTTTATTATTAGCATATTAGTTGAAGAATGATTAAATATCAGAGAATTGTAGAGCATTCTTTTTTACAATCAGATCATATAGAAAGACAGTTTCTTGAAGCTTTTTATAAAGAGAATTAAAATATGTGCGCATTACTTTTGGTATGCCATCTTCCTTTCTAGTAATTATTTTGAAAAATTAGACATTACTTTTATTTAATACTTCATATGATTATAGATCTATTCTGATGATACTATAAGATTTATAACTAATCAAAGAAGTCTCTAGAATACGATGCTCTGATTTAACAACACTTTAACTTTATATTAATAAGAAAAATACTACATCTAGGAACAAATTAAATGCTTCCCCAAAGTCAGACTCATACTGAGTCAAACAAAGACTTAACCAAACTACATTTTTTTAATAACAGGTTTTAGTCTTATCTATGTATCAGTCCAATATAAATTATAATAGTGAACCTAATCTCAACAAAAAACATATCAGACAATTGTCACAAGAAGAATACTAGATAAAGCAGTATGAGCAACTTGTAACCTTGCGATGTGATCGACGAACTGTTTTAAGGATTTATTGTATATATTCAAACATTTGAATCTATTCTTTTGTAGTATATAACATATTTTAACAGCACAAGAAGAAAACCCTCGTCCGGAGAAGACGTTTTGCATCCTAAGTTCGGTTCTTTCAGCATAATTTTTGCCTTCGTTTTTACTTTCAGCTAGATGTTTCGTTTATCTTTGTTTGTAGTCTTGTATTTTATACCAAAATCAATATTGAGATTCACAACGAAAAAATTCAAAGAATTCGATCTGCTGTTTAAACCAGAGAATAGTATTCTAAAGATCTTTCATTATTAGTTACTGACTCTATAGTGACGTCAGAATAGATTCATAATCGAATAAAATATTAACAAAAAGTAATGTTTGATTTTTTTGAATAATTTCTTCTATTTTTCAAAAAGAAAAATTAACTACAAGTGTATAGTTTCTTTGTAATATCATTAATTAATTGGTAATTTTTTAGTATTTCGCTGAATTGAAGTAACTACGACACATATGAGAAAAAATTTAAAAATTCGTCTTATTCTCATTTTTTCTAGCTATGTAAAACACTGAATCGTGTAATTTATTGTATCTATAAAAACTGTTTAAAACTTTAAATGTTTCATATATGAGTTTATGTCAAATATTGTTTCCTGACTTTCTTAACTGAAGACATATCGATTTCGGCCTTCTATTTAGTCATATAGATTATCACTACATAAAAAGTCTGTCAACGAATTACGTATGTTCTTACCTATACCATTCGGCAAGTTATTCTTCTGTAAATTTATAATCATATCTGTTATGTTTTTTGTGACGTATATATTTTATATATGAAAAGAAAATAGTGCATTTAATTTCATATGACGGTTAGAGTTAAAACAATGGAGCAATAATAAACAAATGAGATACAATTTTTAAAACGTAATTTTCAAAATTATATTTTTCTGTTTTTATATTCGTAATAAAATCATTTCTTTTAAAAACAGTCATCATTTCTATTCTTTTTTGATATTTAGTTTTACTTCAAGTTTTATTGAAAATTTTTTTTTCCAACCATCTATTGGTTTTTTCTCTTTCTCTTGCATGTGTTATGGTGACAAATATTACATCGCTGTAGAAGTAGGAAAAGAAGGAAAGAAAAAAAAAACAAAAAGAGAACCAACAATGTTTTTTACAAAGAAGAATTTTTTTTGTTACTTCAGTAATAAAAAGACGACGTGCTGCAAGAACAACAAATACAGCGAAATAACCAAGAATACTGGATTTTATCAAGGAGTCTTTGTTTTTTCGTAATACTTTGGTTTTGTTTTAGATGAATCCGTTTTCGACATATCGTATTATAAATGCTGAAGAAATAATTGAAACCAATATCCGTCCTAACCATGTATGTATCACAATATAAATAATGAATAATTACAAAAAAAAAATTTATAATGAAATCTTATTTTTCTCATAGATTCCTGAAGATATTGATGGTTTATTGAATGTATTATTACCTGTTACATATATAACTAGAGGAGATTCACAAAGAGCATCAAGTCTTCATTCAAATGTTATACAAAAACTTAGTTCAAAAGTATATTTTTATTTTATCGTTGATATAAATATTGTTTGTTTATTTTTTTGTTATCAGTTGCATACATTGGATTTATTGAAACATTTTGGTTATGAATTGGATAGAAAAGGTAATTATACTTATCGATCAACCGATTCAAATCGTGAAATAACACTTCGTGAAAATGCTACTAATGAATTTAAAAATTTTTACAATGATTTGAGAAGAATTAAAGAAGGCTCTTTGGATGATTTTGCAGAATATATCAGAGTAAAGTCTTTTTATCGATATCGTAAACTCTAAATTGAATTGCTTTTTCCTTGATTCAGAATTCCAGAGAACGTCCATTGTCAGCTTATTCTGATCGCGATGCACGTAAGTTTTTTTAAAAAAAAAGAGATTTGGAAAGAAAAACTATCATAAATTTTTTTAGATGAAGAGCAACAGCAGTGAGTCTCTTTCTTTTAAATGTTTTATGTGTTTGTGAAAAAAATTTTTTTTTCTACTACAGACAACGACCAAATTCAAGTTCAAATGTGAGTGTATTATTTAAAATTATGAATGAATAAATTACTTTCTTCCAGTTTCGTTCACAACCATCACTATTGCCTAATTCGTCGACAGTTACAGCAGGCAATGAAAAAACATCGGAAACAATTAAATCATTTAAGGTTTAAAATAATATTTTTTGCTTTAATTATATATATTTCATTATTTTAGGAAAGCATTGTACCAAGACATGCTGGACGACCTGCACATAGTTTTATTCGTCGGAAATTATTACTTCTTTTATACAAACAGAACTATCCTCACTCGATTGAGTTTGGTGATGAAGTGATTGACGAGCAAATCGATCAATGTGTACGTCAATTAAAACAGAGAGATAGAGGTCAAGATGCATCTTGTGGTGATGAAGTTTATTTTGAATGTTTAATTCGTACAAATTTCGACAATGAAGCTGCACTTGACATACTACGTCATAATCGACCGAATTTAGTATTTTTATTTATTTATGTTTGTTTCAAAAAGTAGTTTCTTTTTATCTTAAAGAAACCACCTCCTGAGCCAGAAACTCCACGAGGACCGACTACAACAACAATCGCTCGTAGTATGCACTCTTTACAACAACAATGGAAATTACTAAATAAAGATACAGATGAAAATACAGCTCCTCAACTGTTATTACATGAAGGCGATGTAAGAATTATTCTTTATCATAATAAAGTTTTATTAAAGAAAAAATTTTCATCTTAAACAATGAATAAAAATGTATTTTTCTTACTTCGTTATTATTTAGGAATGGAAAAATGCAACACATATTGTAACAGCTATTATCAAACTTCGACAACAATACAATACTCGAGAAGTTGACGAACATATTGTTTCTGTACAAAAAAATATTATTATCTTGTGATTCATTGAAATCTTTGTCCTTTATCTTTAGAAAATGTATCGATTGATCTATAGTGAACTTTCAAATGTCATCGGCCGACAATCGGTGCTAAAAATTGAGCTACTCGCATATGCTTTATGCAAAGTATCATCTAATAGTCTTGAACATCTTAGTATGGCTGATATCAAAGATATTTTACGTTCAAGTAGTGACACAGAAATCCATGAAAATTTTCAAGATAATGCTATTAAATCACTATCAATGGAGTGCCCAATATGTACCGAGTCTTATCCACGCAGTCGAATGGAGACAATGTTTTTATGTGGTCATATGTGTTGTTTAACCTGTGCTCGAGACTATTATCGAAGCACTATTCAACAGATCAGAGATCCCCAAGCATTAAAGAAACTAACTTGTTACGACGAAGAACTTGAAATTGCGGACGATGTAAAATTGAATTTTTTTCAATATTTAGGATCCAAAGTAAGGTCATAATAATTTTTGATATATTTTGATAATTTAGTTTCACGGAAATTTTCTCTTTTTCTAAAATTTTCTAACTGATCTATTTAGCTTAATCAATGGTTTACTGATGAAAGACTTGTTCTTGATGCATATCATGAAAATTTATTTCTAGCAACACGAGATTCACAAATAAAAAAATGTGGTAATTCACGAGTACGTTTATTTATATTATTTTTCATTTTTTATCTATCTGGTTATTGTTTTAGTGTACTAGCTTTTTTAATCTTCATAATAATAATAATCGAATTGTTCGTGCTCAATGTCCTCATTGTCAGTTTCAACAATGCCAACAATGTTGTCGAAAAGTAAGTGAAAAACATTCCTTGATCTTTTTAGAATATACAATTTCTTTTGTCAAGTGGTTTGATGAACATAATGGAATGAGTTGTGAACAATATGCTGAATGGTTAACAGACAACGATCCTGATGATCCTGAAGTACAACTTACAAAGTATTTAAATACAGCTGGTATGGTTTGTCCTAATGATCGATGTAAAGCTATTTATGAATAGTAAGTTATTATTCAATGTTTCCTTGCATATCTTATTCTAAAGAGTATTTCTTAATGTAGATGTCTTCTTGATTTATTTCTCACTGTAATTGATAGAATAGATGAGTATTATATAGGATCATAGGTTAAATATTCATCTGTTCATATAAAATTATATGAGCCACTTAAATAATGAAATGAAAAACATTCTCTATCAGCCCAGTAATCGGCTTAGAGCTGAGGCTTGGTGACTATTAAAAAGATGAGTAGTTTCTTTGGAAAAGACTGGATCCATTTATTATCTTCTTTTTCCTGCAGAAGTGGACAGAAGCAATCAATTTTAGTCCTTTTTCAATTTGTAGTAGCAGTTTTGTTCGAAAAAAAGCGGGAATAATGCTCTATCAATATTGATATTTACTACAAGTCATTCAGTACATAGCATCATATATCTTAAAGGCTCATCTAGACTTTGAAATTATGAATAGTATTATAGACAGTTCTCAACAAAAGTATTAGCTTTACAGCAACTAAAAGAAGCTGATCTTACGCCTTTGTTTCGATTACAGAATATAAAAAGAAACAATCTAATATTTATATATGTATTAAAGATTTTTCAATGCTCAGCAAAAAGAAACATCATTGAAAGGAATTTTTCTATTGTAAATAGTTTTATAATAAATAATTTTTTGTTCAATAGTAAACCAGGTGGATGTGAACATTTCACATGTAAGCAATGTAGGACGGAATTTTGTCGAATATGTTCAGCACTTTTCTACAATCCAGAGCACAATACAGTAATGAATATGGGTAAACAAAACATAGAACATTTTTTTATTGTCTTTCGACTAGGTTTGTCCTCGAGCAGATTGTTCATTAAAAAGAACTCTACATGCTCATTGTTGTTTGAATTGTTATCGCGAAATTCGTGATGCTCAAGTGGATGAAATTATTACATTATTGACTGTTTGTATATTTTCTTTTATCTTGTCTATGAATCATATTGATAATTTTTTTTCAAGAATCATAACGTAAATGTCACAGAAGAACTTCGACAAAAACCGGCGGCAACTGGCCTTGAATGTCCAGTGGAAGGTTGTAAAAATGCACCGTCAATGGCATGTGAAAATCGATTTTGCGAGTATGGTATTAGTTTGCTTGTGTTTGTTTAATTTCTCTTTAAAAATAGACGATGCTACAAAGAATTTTTGTGCTTACTAATATGGCGTAATGAGATAGAGCCTTGGTAGGTTAACTTGAAAATCACAATATTTATATATCATTTGATTTTGATCAGGGAACTGTATCCAGATCATAATCTACGTCAAACATTTACTAATGCTGGAGTTGCTGTAGTAGAAAATTCGACAAGAGAAGTTTTAATCCAAGTATGTATACAACTTTATAATCACTTTTTTCAGTTCAAGTTTATTTCTTCTTTTTTTTAGCTGGCTCGACAACGTTTAACTCAATTTCTAGGAAAACCAAAAAAGATACCGAGAATAAGACAACAATAATAATAACAAAATAATATTGAATGTTTTCAAATAGTGAACTATTTGAATAAAAAAACAAAATAAATAGTTTAAACAAGAATTTCAATCAGATAAAAAGAAAATTAACTTCGTTTTTCATATTAGTTTTTGGATGCACAGCGATATATCTCTTATTGTGACTTTTTAAATACTTGATTGCATTTGTGATATATTTTGTAGATTTATATCATGTCTTAATTCATTTTTGATGAAATCTTTTAACTTTTTGTGTGTTATTGCATACTTTGATTTTTATTTTTGTCTTAGATTACTAGTACAGTGCTTACATTATTAGAATATACAATCTCCTTGAAGTATCAAAACTAAATAAATAAATACATATTTTGTTATATGACGATAGTTTAGAAGTGGCGTAATCGTCGTAATCAACAACAAATACTAGTGAATAAGGTATGTATTTATTCATTTATTTCACATATACTACTCTCTATTACTTTTAAATTTCAATAGATTGTTTTATAGAAGAGAGATATTAGAATATTTCAACTATCTTGGATATTTATTTAACTTTCTGGAAAAACGTCTACAAATGGCGACAGGAGGAGGTTACGATAAGTATGGGAGTAATTCCTCAAATAAGAATTCTCAAAATAGAAACAATGATGGCAATTTTTCATCAGGATCAAATCGGTATAATCAAGTAATTATCAGCATTTTTTTACTTTTGTGTACTATTTTGAGAATAGTATCATTCTGTTCAACATAATCTAATTCTTGTTTATATAGGTTTGATTTGACAGGTATTTAAATCAGTTAGATCATAACAATTGAAAGTCATTCAAGCAAGAATCACTTTAGTCATAAAATTATTATGTATAGTACCCTCCTAAAGAAACTACGAAAAATAATTTTTTATCATAAACAATTATACTAAACAAAAGTTTGCATGCATTCATCTTATTAGACTTAGCATAATTGAGTGTATCTAATTAAATTTTTTTAGCTTGCTATTTTGAATAAAAACAATTCTATATATTTTAAGTAAGAACATCTTTTAACCAGGCAATAATTTATTTGTCACAAGTTATATAATTAAATACTCAAACATAAAATCCATGGTACTTCAATTTTCAGCATAGAAATATTGAGTTGATTTAGTCTAGCTAAAAGCAATACAATGTCTATATCGAAAATATTATCAAATATAAAATTGAAGAATATTTTCGAGTTGTTTTCCAATCCAAAAATGGTCAGACGTTCCCTTGCCAAATACTCGTTTTTTTCTCGTTTTTAGTTCAGATAAGTTGATGATCTGATGTATTTTTTAAAATACACTTTTTAAAAATAATATTTCAGGATTCAGACACATCGCGTCACGGTTTAGGATACGGCTCTAATTTGCAACAGTATGTTAGTAATACATCACAACAAGTGAATATTAAGTTTTTTTTAAGTGAATAAAATTGTTAGCTACCTTAATATCGATTTTCCAACAGGACACCACCAGCCGTCTATCGGATCTTGATAAACAAACTCTTCAGCTTGTCGAAGAGTTAAAAGTAAGAATAAGATTTGCTAATTTACATGCGTTACTTTAATGATCTTCATGCATCTAGCGCAAGACTCAAACGGAAATTCGATCAAACCAATCAACAGTCAACGAAAACTTTATTGAACAACATGTGGCCAATATCAGACGTAGTCGAAATTCTAAGCAGCTCAATGCTGAAGAATGGAAAACATATCTATCGCAAGATAATAATAACTGTCCTGACAGCATCTTGGAGATATTAATGGCCTATGGAGATAACCCGATCCAGGTGAAAACTGTGTTACAAAAGAAGATTAATGAAATCGAGTCACCTACTGATACTTCGCTGGACAAAATTATTGAACCTTTAAAAAAGCTGAAGAAAGAGACGTCTGACTTTTCTGCATCTTCCAATCTGTTCAACACTGTTCTCAAAATCGATGATAATAAAATTGATGTGAGTATTTTTATTTCTTACTATAACAGATATTGTTAATTTTAAATTATGAAATCATAATTACCGAAATATGAAGTCAATTTTTGCTAGATGAAGCTATAAGTTTTGAAAAATAACCATGTTTGATATGAAAAAAGGTTTCTTATTGCTTTGTATTTTGACATAGAATCTTTAATATAGAAAATAAATCATATGAAGCATTAGTTGAAAAACAAGGTTTTCGTTTAAATTGGACAATAATTTTATAATCAATTATTATTTATTTATAATTTACTTTTATGCAAAAAAGAAAAGGAAACATTTTTCTTCTAAGTTATTATCTATTCCAAAGCTCTGGTTACCGAGGAGAGTTCTGTTCGAAACAAACAGTATAATGTTTATATTATTATACTTCTATAAGATATCTAGTTAAGTTTCATTCAGTGAGTGAAGTATTGATGTTCAAGAGAAGTAAAGCTACTTCATCAAAAGAAAACTCAAGCTAAAAAAGAAACTAAAGTACATGAACAACAAATGATGCAATGACTGATCAAAATGATTATTATTCAATTTAGTCTATTTTCAATTTTATTAACGCTATACTGCTCAACATCATCACGCTTGCTGAGACTTGCCATATGCATGCAGCAGTTTACCAACTAGACAGAAATAAAATCTTTCACAAAATCTTCTGGCAAGTTTCCGTGATCATGCGTCTTTTGCTAATCTTAGGTTATATAGATTGTTGGATATGTATAACTGCTATGTTTATTACTGTATAATCATTTTATACACAAAACTACACAATTTTGTAATGTTGTTTCTTGTGGAATAATACGAAATTTTTCCTTCAATTTTCCATTTCAAGTCGATAAATTATAAATCTTAATTTAATTTACGATAGCGTTGATTAGTTTTATCGGAATTCTTCAGTAACAGGTGTTATCACAATCCTTGCGGGATCAAAATGTGAACCACAATGTAGTCGCTGTTAATAATCACAGAGTTTGTGACCGGTCTTTATTGAGAAGTCTGTTATGGTCTGTACAGATGGAGAAGAGTCCAAGCTTTTGCTTTTATAGTTCAATACTCCTCTTAAATTGTGCTTCATAAAAGAATATTTGAAACAATGATTTAGAAAACGTAAAAAACCTCATTGCGAAGAATTCCCCTGAGTATATTATGTTCTCTCTTGTTTTACATTTATCATTTTAAGCTAATGAAAAGCATTACTTCGTTTCGAATTTACTTTTCAATTTAGGTACGAAGAGTTGAACTATTTATACTACTATATCAATTGAGAAAAAAAAATCTTCATATTTATTCGGATTTCTAATTTATTTATTCTTATAGAACCAATCTCTTTTTCTAGCGTGCTGATCGTATATTTTACAGTGAAGCTTGTCAAATGATGGGTAATCAGGAAAATTATACAGTTGATAATGCTCATGATCAAGTGCAAGCTGTCCGTCTGATGCATTATTCTTCAGAAGACAAAAACGAACTTTATCGTCTCATCAAAAACTATCGAACGTTTGATGATGCATACTCTTATCTACAAAGTCTTACACGACAACGAGCAAAAAGTGTGAGTTATCGACAATTTGCTTAAAATGTTAATTAACAACCATACTTTTTAGTTTTTATCAACTGCATCGACATCAACCACAATGTCATCTTCTAAACCCAATGTTCATAAATCGTTAATTAAGGCAGAAGTCAATAAGGACGATAATGGCGCAATAAATAATCCTCATTCATGTTCCGGTTCTGACAGCAATCGGAATGATTATAACGCAATTTCACCATCATCAAGTATTCAATATTGATCCTTTTTCATCAATGATACATTATAAAAATGAATTTTTATTACGTAGATCGTCTATCATCGGCACAGGCTAATAGACCAAAAAGCAGCAGCAGAAGCGGCGGACAAACTTCTTCAGAAGGTAGAAAGTTGAAAGTGTTACCTAAATTTATGTCTAACTTATATAATAGTTTAGGGATTAATACATGAAGTTCACAATGAAACTAAAAAGTTTGTGGGCAGTATTTATTCAACATTAATCTTTTTAATAAAACATTATTTCTTCGTCTTAAATCTTCGATTCCTGTATAAAAAGCAAAAGACTAATAATTGTATGAAAAAAGTTTTTTTTTTTTTTTCTCAATAAATTGTTTTTTTGCCTCATTCCATGAAGAATATCGAATTGAATTAGCTTCGTCGATGTTTGAAAGAATTAATTGTTTTTCAAATAAGATCAATTCACTTGTCGAAAAACGAAAATAGTTCATAAAATCAAATACCAGTATAATTATTAGTTTTAATGTATAAAAAAAAAAGATTTTTATTCATCGAAAAGTAAAAGACATTTAATATCATATTGTTTTAATCTAATCAACATACTTTAAAAGTATCAACATAAATATTTTCAATGCTTGAAATTTTACTCAATCATTTCGTTATCACAAATTATCAGGCGTACGAACACGTAACAACTATATCAGTCTAGATATTGATAAACGAAGATGTCGAAAAGTTTTTTTTTTATTAAAAATAAATGTAAAATTTAGCATATTACATTAAATAAAATCTAAATTTATCACTATAGAAGAGAAATCTCAATGAGCTAGGCTGGGCCGAAGAAAGCCATCCCATGGGCCACTCATATATAATTGTATTGAATAAATCTTTAACATATGAATGTGTATAAGCATATTTCGTGTACCAGTAGTTAATGTGTAAACAAATGTTCAATAACATATTTAACAACTTGCAAAACCTTCAATACTCTCGAATTCACCAGTATCTACTGGTTTTTTTTCAATTATAAAATCCAAAACTTTTCAACGTAAAAATGTGTTTTCTTTTTCATTTTTAATAAAAGTATATGACGATGATTGTAGTTTCAAAAGAAATTTGATCCATTCGGATGTATATTATTTTGTATGTGATGATAAGCCAACACCGGTAGAGTTGAAGAAAAATTATTAGCAAAGAATGATGATTGAGAAGGTTCAATAAGTATAGAATTGAAATTAGATATAGTAATTGATGATGATGTTGTAATTGTTCATGAACGAGAAGAGCTAGGCAAGAACATTTTGTTGAACATAAAGCAACGTTTTTTTTAAGGTAACGGCAGTTTTATCTTTTTCTTTGTTTTGACTTTATATATTTGCTGTCTATTGCAGAAATGCTTTAGCAAACGGAAGAATTACACAGAAGTATCGAAAAAAAATTAGTGAACATACGCAACATTTTTTGGAAATTTGATGTTTTATTCAAGATTCGGTTCACGGACACCCATAGCCATATGGAATCAGTCCGGCCCAGTCTGTTAAGATCTCTGTTATATAATCCTTTATCAAAAAAAAAATATAGAGTAATATAACTGCATGTATAAATACAAAATGATCTAAGTTTGAAAAATGATACATTGTAAATATAGGCCAAACGTTTACTAATATCAATTAATAAAAAAGAAGCAAATCAAGTATATTTAGATAGATTTATCGGAATTAATTTCGATTGAAATCGATCCATATTAGACTAGAACCCACTGTGTCCAAAGTTTTGCGAATTCAGACCCAATCGAAGCGTATTGTTATACTCTCAATGAAATTTTCTAGTCGGAATTAGGTAGTAGCTCCGAAGGTACGAGATACTTTTTTCTAATTTTTTTTTGTATTCGGTAGCTATCGCACCCTACACATTTCTCAGACAACTAGAGCCTACTGGGTCCAAAAAAAAATTCAGATTAGGACCCAATTGGCTTTACTATTCTCAAAGGAGAACGTCGATATAAGTCAAATGACACGAATGTTTGCAATAGTGTGTAAAATAAAAGAGAGAGAGAGAGAGCAATATTACTTCTTTAATCATTGAAAAGCTACTACTTTTCTCTAGCAATGAAAATTCTGATTCCAGAGCGCATTTACCTAACCTAAGTTGTGGTCCCCACACCTTTGCAAACATTTCTTGAGTTTTTATATCTGAATGACGAAAACTTTTTTTGTGGGAAGCCTTGTGTTCTTGATTAATAATCCACAATTTAATAAACCGACATTTGATATAATACCAATGTTTATGTTACAGAAACCCTTTTTTTTAAAAAGATTTACCTATGCGTCATCATAGTATCACGTGTTTTCCGAATATTATTATGTATATTATTGATAAAAGATGAGAATGATTTAACTCATACTTTTTCATCTACTAAATTCTGTATGACAATTGTAACGTGTCAACGTTTGACAGAACGTTCATCGACACTATTAACATAAAAACCTTTTTAATAGAAAAGATTTTTTTTTACTATTGTCTTCTTGACAATAATACCTTACGCAGGTCAAATTATAATGTTATCGTATTATTCGTGTGTCGTACAATAGAGCATGTCTTGATCTATACTCTTATCAATAAAATTCATCTATTCATCTTGTCACTTTAGCTTTTGTCACATTACATTTTCAACGCCAAGACAAGGTGACAGAAAAACTTCGTATAACATGAAGTGTGAGAGACATTTTAATTGAATATATCGGCTAGAATATGATGTTGAGACAAACTTTGTTCTAGTGTGTGCAATAGTAACCAATGAAGACAAGATAACGATGTCTACAAGCTTAATAAGATTAAACAATGATGTTCAGATACTGATAGAAACAAAAAGATGAATGTTTAGAATAGTCTAGTTAAGAAGAGATGATCATAACAATAAATCGTCTTGATATAGAAGAATTAAAATAATTCTATGTATTGTTATATATGAATTGATATATGTTCGATTAAAATTTACATGTCAAAGTAATCTTTTTGAGAGTATATAATACATCTTTTTTTTTTTATTTTTCATAAGTTTTTATTACAAGAATATATCACATTGGTTGTTTTAATTTATTCTTGTCAAGTTAACACGTTTTTATAAACTTTTTTTTCTCGTGCAAACACTGTTTCTTTTTCTATGAATAAGTATAGACATTGTGACATGAATATTGAATGTTATTTTCTTCGATCAATAGAAGTATAGGTAATAATTATTCAAGTAGATATTACTGGAGAAGAAGAAATTTTTGTTAAACTATGTTTTATAATTTAAATCATAAAATTTATGTTTTAATTTATTTCATTCAAAATTCCTATTTTTAATATTGATTTAATAATCAATTGGAAACATTCATAACTTAGACTGACATAGATTAAAATGGTTGATTCTTTACCATTATTTGATCTTATACTTACAAAATCTCAATTTCAATCGATATCTATTCAACAGAATGATAATTTTACTGAACATCTTGTTAATGAACGAACATTTCTAGCATGGACACGAACTAGTCTTGGTATATTTTTGCATTTGGATATGCTATTGCAAGATAGAATGGTACAATTAATTTTTGAATAATATTAAAAAATTCATTTCATGAAACAGAAACTTCTCATATCAGGACTTATTCTTGTCGGAACTGATTTTATTACTTTATCATTTAGTATCTATCGATATTATCGAATTAATCAACAAATTCTAAGAAGAAATTTCATAGATACGAGAACCTATTATTGCTACATTATTTTTATTTCTTTCATTGATTATTATATTTGTAATTCTTCTTATTTTATAAAATCTTTGTTTCAATCATATTTACTAAATAAATATCGTTTATTTTATATCTCGAATACGAAACATTTATTAAAATCAATTAAAATAACATAAAAATATACGTATATGATGGAAGCATGTTATGTTATAATATAGTTACTTCATCTACATATATTTCAAGACTTTGAAACATCTTCTAAAATGTTATAAATCATGCAATAGTTGAACTTAATTAGTCATAATTATTATTTATTAATGGATAAAAATATATTAATTATGTAGTGAATATTCTTTTGGGGAGAGAAAAAAAAAAGCGCAACATACTAAATTCCGCATTTGCTTTCTCTGATATTAATTGATGTAAGTCTATTTTTCTTTTTTAATCAACTATTATATAAAACAAACTATAGAATGTCATAGAAATCGAATTTTTTGCTATACTCATTTTTCAACTTATATGTTAGTATACAATATCAATTGCACTGACATTTTCTATTTAGATCGTTTGAGCCCATGTGAGATGATGGATAGAATGTAAGTCAGTCATGTCTTTTCAATCTGCATCGAGTTTGCTTTCATTATTTTTTTTCTTCTTTCTTTTTTTTTTTTTTACTAGAGAAAATCTGGAACGTTGTGGCACTACCGTGCGCATTAACTCCTCTTTCTTGCAATAAGCACCATAACATATTCCTCTTTTTCTGCTTTCATGCATTTTGACTAGAAAAAGAACAGGAGAACGTGCATTATTGAAACAACAGCAACAGAAGATGTGTTCTTTTGTTTGTCTTCCGTAAGTGGTCTTGAAATAATTAGACAAACAAACAAGCATTCTAAGAATAGAAATTTTTCTATTAAAAAAAAAGAAGATCAAGCGTAAGCACGATTCATATTAATTGATCAATGATAGACGAATAATAGTGTTCTATTGATTTAAATCAATTCATGTTTCTTCGATTTTTGCGAACATGTGATAAAAAAAAACCTATGCCTGTTCCTTGTCATTGACACATAATCAGAAATAAGCTCGTGCATACGCTTGTATGACCAACAAATTGAAGTGTTTATCTATCTTTCAAGTATTTATATTATCCTTATTAAGACATGCATTCGTGTAGAATAAAACCGAGAACCTTATATGTATATTTATATCTCTACCTCTTTATTTAAAACAAAGATACGGAGTAAGACAAAAAAAAAAAAAGAAAGACGGAGTCTACAATTGCAACTTCGACTAACAACGTGAAACAAGCATTTATATGTAAGTAAAGACGAAAGGATTATATACGTAGTTCTATAATTACTACTCTATGTGTTCTATAATTAATTTCTATTTTGACTCACAGTAATCGAGTTGATAAAAATCAAAGATGAATGTATGTCTACTACTCGTGAATCAATGACGCATATTTCCTTTGTAGTATTGTAAACAATAAAAAAAAAAAACTTGATTCAATAATAATAAAATGAAGTAAGAGAAAAAAACAGATACGATAGAAGATTTACGTCTACTTGAGCCATCTCTATGATTCAAGACTAGTACTTGAGATATAAGAGTAATTGAATTTGACAGTTCGAATAGCTGGTGTTTTTTTTTTATATATGTGATGTGTCGCACTATTTCATTGAAGCTGTTGAGCGCTTCTAGAAGAATTATGACGACTAGATCATCTTTTTTTTTTTATAAGAAAAGAAGGAGAAGAAAAAAAAACTAGACATATAGTGAAAAGTAATAGTATCTTTTTTTTTTGTTTTTCCTTCTTCTTGTATTCCAACTTGTCGTCAAACTTATGTTAGTATTGATGTTAATGTGTACGCATTAATTTCTAACATAACTTCTGTCATAAATGATTCAATTAATTTCACCAAATAGTAATAATATTTTTTCTTTTTATCTTTTATTTTCGTCATATGTTAATCTACTAATATTTTCTTCTAATTCTTTTGAATATTTCATCATCTTTCTTTCTTTTTTTTTAGATATTATCGAGAAAAAAAAACTTAATAATCGAAATGATTATATTCTCAAAAGAAAATGAACATGAATCTTTTTATGTTTATTATTCTTTTTTTTATTGGATGTTTATCATTAATCAATCGAATAAATTGTTCGAATAATAATACATCAACAATGTTAATTTTAGTAACACCATCATCATCAATCAATGATTATGTTAAACGTCGATTATCAAGACATTTTATATCGAAAAATATTAATTCTACTGATGATGATATTACTTTATTAACAAATCATATACGAACATTTGATACTTCATCTAGTTATAATACAATGAAACATTTTTCAAGTAAATAAAAAAGAGAATATAAATATGTTTTTATTTTTTATTTTTAGCTTTAACAAAAACACAAATTAAAGTTATTATAACTGTTGTTATTATTATTAGTTTCATCATATTTATTATTGCTATATTTCGATTTAAGTAAGTATATACTCGCATACTTGGATATGTGCGAGACATACGTCTGATTTGATATATGAATATTTTTTTTTCATATTTAACCATTGATCTTGTCCGTACATATTTCATCTTTGTCGAAAGAGAGAGAGAGAGAGAAAAGAGGATTGTGATTAACGTCGAGACAAGTGGACATAAAACATACATTCATTTTATTGCATAAACATTGTCTCGAATAGATTGAAGAGAGTGAAAAAGGTAGAAGTTAATGGAAATGCCAACGACTATGTGCAATTGTATGTAAGTGTAACATTTAAGTTATCCATATTTCTTGGTTTTTTTTTTTTTATTAAACTTTTTGATTTATAAGGCATATCATGTCTACAAATTGTAACATAATTTTTCTTTACAGAATAAAAAAACTTTAATCTAATCATTTGCATATTTCATAAGATATCAATCATATGAATACTCGGGTTAGATATGAAAAAAAAAAGTAGTGACTTGCTATTTCCGGTACACCGATGAACCTAGAGGAAATTGTCTTTACGAACTATATTTATTATGTATTAGGGTCATGAAAATGCACTTTTTTTTTTTACTTCCTATCAATAGTTTCTTCGCACTTTCCTATCATTCCAGCAATGTCACTTCCGTTGTAAAAAAAAACCAATAGGTATTCATGTTCTTCATCATGATATCTTTTCATCAAGTAATATATATAATAATTTTTTAATATAACTGAAAAATCTCGTTACTGAACTATTTATAATACTCTTGTTATTTGAATATATATATATAATCTTAAGGGTAATTTTATCTCTAAAAATATCTAAAGATTGTTAATAATAGTGTTAAGAAAAAAAAAGTACATAAAATGCACTTAAAATTATCAAAATATTCTTCATTCACTTTTTTTTTTTGTCATAGTAAATAGTTACAGTTTAAATTATAAATCTTATACATAATGATCTTGATCTGAAATGAAGTAGATTGAAAATAGAATGTATTGAAATAATTCAAAATTATAGTTGTCAGAACTTACTGTTGGATCTTAATGCTTCTAACGAGGAAACCTTTTTAAGTGATAAATTGTTTTTGAGTTGAGACTCTATCCTAGTGAGATATGAAATGTCGGGAAAGGAGAAGTGCCCTGAGATCTTTCTTTTAGAGTTACACTTATTTTACCGAAATTTTGGGTTATACCATAATATGCACACCAACGAATGAAATGACGGTATCGCGATCTGAAATTTCGTTTATATTAGCTGATAAAAAATGTTTTCTTGGCAAGATATTGAATTTCTAAAAATTACTCATATCCTGGGAAAGATATGAGAATCTCAGATTTTTGGAAATTCAATATCTCACAAAGGAAACATTCTTTCAAGCTGAAATTTTCACAACATCCTAATCACAAGTAGATCTATCTGTAGAAAAAAATTTTACATCGAAATGCCGTTATTCATTGTATTGGTACATATCTGTACCATAGCCTAAAATTTCAGCACAATGGCTATAACTCTGAAAAGAAGATTTAAGAGCACTTATCTTTTTGAGATGTGTCATATCTCATTGAGATCTACTTGATGCATAGAGCCCAAAATCAAAAATGATTTATCAGTGGAAATAGTTCCCTCGTTAGACGATATGCTTTATAATATGGTTTTTCATGTTGATACTTTGGCTCAAGCTTCTCGGTAGTAGAGTCTGTGGAATAAAGCCCTACCATATGGCTCAGTGCTTTAAAATTCAATATCTGTTGAGCGAATGGCAGTGAATCCAAAATATTTCGAAACCAACTTCTGAATAAATCTAAGGCAATCTCCTTCTTTGTCGACCAAAAATTTTTAGATTATTTGTTTGTTCTGATATATATTTTTTTTTTCGAAATGTCCTCTATCTACTGCACATATATTATGAGTCGAAAAAGGCAGAATATTTTCGCTGTTTTTGAAAAAATTGGAGTTTCGACAAAAGAAGATTGAGAATTGCTCACTATTTCTCAATCACAGTACATCCATTCGAGTTAAAACTTATTACACTAATGCCCATTTCAAAAAAAAAACAAAGACAAATGGAAATTTTTTCGATAACTTTTGATAGAAATAAGATAGAGAGCTGCGGCTTTCATCTTTAGAAAGAGGATATGACAATGCATGGCATCAAATAGTCCAAGGTTGTTCAACTTGATTTTTTAAAGATTTTTTTCAATTTTCTCGGTGAATTTTTCAAGCAACTGCTGTGTTTTTTTCTTATGTTAAAAGAAAGCATTTTTTTGATACCTTTTTTTATAAATTTGATTAAAAAAAAACACTTCAAAAAACATTTTAGAAGAACTTATAATATATGCATCGATGCGACATCATCTCCTCTTTTCAATGATGAAAATCACAGTACTCAATCAAAAGTTACTCAAAAAATATTCACTCGCCTCTTTTTTTTTAAATGGGCATTAGAAAGTACCTAAGATGCCTGATTTTTTCCTTTCAATTATATGATGCACTACGAGCTATTATCAAAGTTTACAAAAAAAAACATTTATTTTGGAAGTACTCTCAGGATTTTAGTCTCATGAAAGGCGACAAAAAAAGAGACCAAAAGAAGTAGATAATACGAACAGTATCTATTATATGTAAAAAAAAAATATGATCTTTACTCCGTGCAATGTTAATATGTCCTTGAGAAATGCATTTGAAGTGTTCTATAAAAGGAGGTCCCATAAGTCGTGATATTCCCTTGTGTGTTAGACTCCAAAAAATACTTCATAATTCTATTGCCTACATTCTTAAGTTTTATTTTCAAATTACATAAATAAATTGTTTTGTTATCTAAGAAAGAAATTCCTTTTTTTTTTCTCTCTCTTCTTCAATATCAATTTGTTTTGTTCAATTACATTGAATAAACAATGTATAAATGCGCATTGTCTATCACTAATGAAATTAGACTTCGTAGTCTGATCAATATGTTCTTAATTTATTATCTTGTTCTTTTTTTTTGTTGTTGAAGAAATGCATGTCGCAATCAAGAAACAGACAATTTGCAAACTGAAATCATTCGAAATCGTATTTTACAATATAATGAACCAAGTTCAAGACGTGGTAGTGTTGGAGTAAGTATTTTTAAAAATTATTTCATGTACAAATAATAATCATATAATAATGATTTAATAAAAAAGAGAGAAAGTAAAATACAACTAACATATTTTGTATTTAATGCTTAAAAACAGTCAATAACGACATGAATTATTGCTTTTAGTTAAGCAAGTAATGAGACATCGATCTATACTCGGCATTGCCATTAAAAGAAACAGAACAAACATAGAAAACACATAATAATTTATTAGAAAAAAAAAAAACCGAGCACGATAGACAAAAGAGACCGGCAGTTCATAGACTTGCAAGCATAAAAGAAAAACCATTCGGCATATTGTTCTATCAATCGAGATTGCATTATTCTCCGATGTATTTGACTTTGTTTTTTTTTTTTTCTTATATTGAGAATAGAAACAGAAATACATATGTCTGTTTACCAATGCCTATAATCATTTATTGACTTTTATGTTAAATGAGCAGCAGCAGCAGCAAGTCCCACGAATGTCTTATTTCCTCCGTTATAGTTTATTACTGTATATATATATATGTGCATGTATGCGTATAAATCATCTTTCCGATAAATTTTCTTCGTTCTATTATTTGCTATCTATTCTATATTATCATTATTATTATTATCATCATCATCATCATCGCCATTCAAAAAAGAATAGATTCATTATCATTACTCATTAGGAATATACTAAATCATTATTGACAAAAATATTTCCGTTAATTTTATAATCAAATACTTGACAATAACTATTTAACAGAAAGATATACGAGAAAATTTGATATTATAATGTAAGTATACAACAATTCATTATACATACAATAAAGAGTAGGAATGCTTTTCGTGTCTTTTTTTTTTTGAAAATATATTCTTATTTGTTGCAAAAACATAAAGAAAGAATTTTCCTTTTTTTATCATCCCACTTGAGACATTTAACAATAGAGTATACTATAGAAGAATAGAATCATGATTGTTCTGTTTGAGAATGAAAAAAGTGTTGATTATTGAAAAAAAAAACAAATATACTCTTAGATCATTGTTCTATTCATGATAATATATCGTGACAATGAAAGAGATCTACTCAGTTAGATAATTCATATCTCATTCGCTTGATAGGAAACGTTTTAACAAACATGTCTTTTCTTTTTTTCTTATATAACTTCTATAATCATGTTTAAGTTTTTAAGATAAATTCCTATATTCAATATATTTAGAGTTTATTTTGAATTGAAAACAAAAAGAAAAAGAAATAATATAGAAATTTAACACGTTCCGTTCCGGATTTGCGTGACATAATGTATGTACTAGCATTATTATTATCTTTTTTTTTTTTTCGTTTATATTCAATGTAAAGAGAAAAATAGATGAGAGGCATGCACGTTTCTTAATATTTGTCTTGATCAAACTTTTCTATATTTCTTCTATCTTTTATATCAGAATAATTCACAACGAAATAACATACAAAATTGTTCCCATCGTATAGTGAATGATTGTTACAATAGTTAACATCACAATCTGTTAGAATTATTATAAGTATTTCCTATAGGACACAGTAAGATATTAAAATGCTTTCCACTCATTTTTTTTTCTTGTATTTGTTGCTATTGCTTAATTGTAATGAAACGAGAGAAATGCTTTCTATAAATTGCTTTATTTTCATATCCTTAAGGCTTTTTTTACGGAATCGTTATATGTATATGTATGTTAATAAACTGACTAATAGCTTTCTAAGATACGATTTTTATTTGATTAATGTAAAGCTAAATAAAAATAAAATCAATTTTTTTTTTTTATTAATATACGTTTAGAATATAAACAGAATGACATGTAAG